GCGTCCTTTCCAGCCCGCTCCTAATCGTAAGCCCTGGTATACAGAGGAACTCCTATCCGACAGAACTTGCCATAGGAAACATCTTGATTCCTATTGGGAGGCATTGCATGCAGTGCTGACTTTTCTCCTCTGCATGCTTTGCGTCTGCAGAGTCTTGCCCAGCAGAGCTGTTTAGGGTGGTGGGGGAACTGACACAGGTACCTCCTGTGCAAAACCCTCTACTTAACCCTACAGCAGCCTGCTGTGATGCTTTTGACACCTACTTTGCAGATAAAATCTCTCAAATAAGAGCCGACCTGGACGCCAGCGTTTTGACAGAATCCAAAAAGGTGAGGTGGCCAGCAATTCTATTGATGGCATTTTACTGGATCAGCTTCAATCTGTGAGTACCGATGACATGGACAAGCTCCTTGGTAGAGTGAGGAAGATGACCTGCTCTCTCAATCCTTGTCCATCATGGCTGGTCATCCAGGGGGGTGACGCGTTGAGGGTATTCCTTCAGGATACCATCAACCCGTCATTCAGGGAAGGCTTTGTTCCATCTTGTTTAAAGGAGGAGGCGGTCAAACCCCTCCTGAAAAAGCCATCCCTGGATCCCCTGGATAGGAATAACTACAGACCGGTCTCCTTGCTGCCCTTCTTAAGCAAGGTGATCAAGAGGGCGGTTGTTTCCCAGCTCCAAGCTGTCTTGGATGAAACCGATTATCTCGATCCATTTCAAACTGGCTTTAGGACAGGATATGGAGTTGAGACTGCCATGGTTGCACTGGCTGATGACCTCCACTTGGGCATCGACAGGGGTAGTGTGACCCTGCTGGTACTCTTGGACCTCTCAGCAGCCTTTGACACAATAAACCACTCCATCCTCTTGGATTGCCTGAGAGAGTTAGGAATTGGAGGCACTGCATTGCAGTGGTTCCATTCCTTTCTCTCTGGCAGATCCCAGAGGGTGAGGCTCGGGGACAGTTGCTCTTCTAGAATAGAGCTTAATTGTGGCATCCCTCAGGGTGCCATCCTGTCCCAATGCTATTTAACATCTATATGAAGACACTGGGAGAGAACATTCGGAGGCATGGAGCACGGTATCTTCAGTGTGCTGATGACACCCAGATATACCTCTCCATGACCCGATCATTTGCCCAGACCTCAGATGGTGTCTCCTCTCAATGATTGTCTTAAGGCAGTAATGGATTGGATGAGGAAAAACAGATTGAGACTGAATCCATACAAAACAGAGGTACTAACAGTGACGGGTCCGAAACCAGGCTTGGAAATACACCTCCCAGTCCTGGATGGAGTCACACTCTCCTCCAAAGACTGTGTTCACAGTCTGGGGGTACTCCTAGATTCATTGCTTCACATGACTAATCAGGTGAATGCAACGGTCAGGAGTGCCAGTTATCAGCTTAGGCTGATACGCCAGCTGAGCCCTTTCCTGGAGGTTAGGGACCTTGAAACTGTGGTATACGCTCTGGTAACCTCACATTTGGATTTCTGTAATGCGCTCTACATGGGGCTACCCTTGTGCTTAACCCAGAAACTCCAATAGGTTCAAAATATGGCAGCCAGGTTATTCACTGGTGTATCTAGGAGAAAGCATATCACACCTGTGCTTAAATCTCTCCACTGGCTGCCAATTAGTTTCTGGGCACAGTATAAGGTGTTGGTTTTGACCTTTAAAGCCCTACATGGCTTGGATCCAAATTATCTCAGGGACCGCCTCTTCCCGTACGATCCCCCACGCGTACTCCGGTCCTCTGGGAGGAACCTGCTACAGCCTATGAAAACTAGGCTGTTGCAGACCTCCCAGAGGGCCTTCTCTGCCACCACTCCAAGATTATGGAATGGCCTGCCGGATGAGATCCGTCTTATCACCATGCTTGACTGCTTCAAAAAAGCAGTAAAGATGGATCTTTTCCAGCAGGCCTTCCCAGAATAATCTCCCGGCTCCTTCTCAAGATGGTCTTGCTTTGTCAACCCATTTCCCTAGACCTAGTTGCTATTGTTTGCTGTTATTTGTTTATGATCTTATTATTTGATGTTTTGTCATTCTGCTGTTTTTAATACTACCTTAGTTTAATCTACTTTTAAGGGGTGGAAGGGTTAGGGAGAGTACTTGATGATGTGTTTTACTCTTGTATTGTTTTAACCTGTTGTATGCTGCCCTGGTTGCCTTGCAGAGGGGCGGGTTAGAAATAAAATTTATTATTATTATTATTATTATTATTATTATTATTATTAATTTATTATTATATTATTATTTATGTTTGTCCATAATTTTTTCAGTTTTTTTTATAAATACTAATTTCTAAAAATGACCAAGCAAACCCCAAAATGATGTCAAAAATAAAAATGTTAAAATAATGGATAAATGTTCTCCATTATGCTTTTTTTAAAAATGACAGTTGTTAGCATTAGTCTTAAAAGCAGCAGTGTTAGTAACATCACTACACACACACACACACACACACACACACATTGCTATAGGTAGCTCATTGGCCTAAATCCTATTGTAGCTTTGAGCAGAGAAGAACCATTGAATCAATTGGATTTCCCTTTGTGTTGACTTATTATTCAACAGCTGGTTTATTGGGTTTACAGTAGTTGGGATTAACCAATAAGATTCCAGCCATTACTTGTAACAGGTTGATTCCAAATGTAAGGATATATATATTATATATGTCCCTGAATTTGGAAGCAACCTATTACAAGTAATGGCTGGAATCTTGTTGGATAATCCCAACTACTGTAAATCAGGTATATATATATATATATATATATATATATATATATATATATAGTTGCTGTTGTTATTGAGTGCTTTCAAGTCGTTCAAATCATTTTCAAGGTCTGGGGCTGAAGTTTCCATGGCTGAGTAGGGAATTGAACCCTGATCTTCAGATTTGTAGCCCAACATTCAAACCACTACATCATGCTGGCTGTCTACATGCATATAGATATAAGGTTAAATCTGGAATTCTTCACAATTACCTGGAATTAAGGTCCATTGAACACACTGATCCCAGCTGGACAGGCATAGGATTATACTGTGATTTGTGAGTGAAACATTTTGAGGTTATATCTCTCTATGAAATTTCTCCATGCACACACATAGCAACTAATGAAGAAGACTGTATATTCAGAGACATTGAGATACACAAACACACACACACACACAGTGATGTCTGACTGAGTAAGATAAAGGGAGGGTAAAAATTCTTGGTACAAACCAGCTCCCACTCCATCATTTCTTTGATAGCGCACAGGGACCTCAGCCAAGATCAAGCTCCCCGTGTTGCTAGGCATTGTGCCAACATATGATAACACTCCTTTGCATGACTGTTTTTTAAAGAAGAGCAAAGATAACTTTATATTGAATTTTCTTTTTATCTTGATCAGCTTTCAGATTTCTTTTCCACAGCTGGCTTGAGATGGCCATGAAGTAGAAGGAGGGGGAGGGCAAAAACACAAGACATCTCTGAAATTAATTGAATATTTGCTGACTTACAGAGGTTCACAAAGAATCCTATTCTAACGTTTCCCTCCTCTCTTCTTCCTTCATTTTACTCTAGCAGAACTTTAAAAAAAAAAACACCAGGTATGGTTTTTAGCTTTTTGGTGCCAACCTATCAAGAAACTGATTGTGCATTAATGCAAAATTCTTCTGACATGGTTTCCTGCAGCAGCCCAGATAAACAGAGATACATGAGCAATATAAGAAATAACTTTCTATGAGACAGGATGTGTGTACAAACAAAGAAAGAGCATCCCCACTTCTGAGCTTAGAAATGCATTTAAAAACATAACATGTTGCAGTTATCACTTTATAGTTAATAGCAACTGTTACCTTTTTAACTTTTATTTTCCCATCTCACTAAAGTAACTAAAATATATTTTTAAAATCTGGCTGCTACTAGCTACTGGCTTGCCTCTGGTTTCCCCATCTAACTTGCCATCACTTCAAAGGCCACAGCAATTGAACCCCATGATATATTCCTACTCACAATAAGTGAATAATAATTTAAAACCTATTATGGTTATT